CTTACCCTTGTACACGACATACGACGACATCTCTATGCACAAGCCAAACAACAGACAATACATAAGCAATATATAAGTATGCAACAAAAGGATCGGAAGAGAAAAGCAAGACATTAATAGCACGATTCATGGTCCTACTAATAAATAGCATTGATTACATCTAAGTTGAACGACTGTCCAAACCAAAGAGACATACAATTCATTAAAGTTTAATTACAACATGAGCCAATCAATGTTTCAGAACTACACATAGCATCACTACTTTTGACTCGACTCATGGGACCGGACCGGAGCGTGTAGTGACTGGCTTCAGGTTGATGCTGTGATCTTACTGACGAGGCGGGGGCAGGGTTGTTGATTCAGCAAACATGTCCTGATACTCGCGCAGAACTTTCTGAATGTTGGCTGGGACTAGTGCAGGCGGTGGCTCGTCAGTTTTCTCCACTGTGACAAGGGCCGCTGTCTAGATATCGTTGGCCACTTCCATTCGATGCAGCTCATAAGCATCCAACTCTGAGATGGAAGACAGGTTGCTGGTTTTCACTCCCTGTAGTTTCACTGTCTTGCCCCGCTGTCGAACTGAATCGTCTTTAGTTGCCAGTGGCACAACATCGGACTGTGGGGAGAGAGCCAGTCGATCCCCAGAACGCCATTGTAGGCACTCAGTGGTAACACCCGGAGGTCGGTGTTGAAGGTGTGAACAGGAACTTGTCAGGCCAATTTGCGCAAGAGCTTGTTGCAGAGCAGCCGTTGTCCATTCGCCACACGAACTAACACAGGGGGGAGTTGTTCAGTCTTAGCAGCAATTCGGGCGGTGAAATTCTCACTGATGAAGCTGTGAGAACTCCCTGAATTGACCAGCAGCAGCATGATCTGATCACCCACTTGGGCGCACAGGCGAATCCTGGACAACCCTTCCTCGCCGGACATGGCATGCTGACTCAGAGAGCAGTATTTTGGTTCCTGTTGCACTGGTGCATCCAGCAATTGCAGCGCGAGCACGGTTTCGTCGGACAGAATTTCTCCGAACTAGCCCACTTCGATCATCAAAATATGTCCCGTGCTTTTGCACTGATGCTCGCGGGAGTATTTATGCCCACAGCGGAAACACAGTCCATTAGCTCGTCGGAATTCTCGTAACTGTCGTTCCCGAGCAAAGTCGTAGTTTGCTGGGCGTGGTTGTGCTACTGCCCAGGCTGGAATGGTGGCTGTTGTTGCTGCTTGTGGAGGTGGACGACCCATTGGTACGATCCATTGGTGCTGTGCGCGTTGTCTCTCCAATTCCTCTTCCTGAATTCTTGTGAAAACGGCCGCTCGAGTGATACTGATGGGGGCCTGCAGGCGGACGCCCAGTCGAAGCTCGTCCTTGAGCCTGAGCATGCACTGAAAGATGAAAAACTGCGCGCTCAAATGCGGATCAAGAGACAGAAGATGGTACATCAATGTCTCGAACTGATGACCATACTCTTGCACACTCCCAGTCTGCCGCAACTGAACCAACTCATGCATTTCTGCTTCGAATTCTACGGGCCCGAATTCCTCTGCCATTGTTGCACGAAAAGCTGCCCAAGACAACCCTGAAGGTTTCTGACGATGAGCCTGTAGGCACATCGCTGTCAGGCCATCCATGTACAGCGAGGCCGTGGTGACCCAGCTGTGCGGTGGCACGCGGTAAGAGACGCACCGCTCGAGCCAGATGCGCGGGGCGTTGTCGCCGAACCGTGGAAAATCATGCTTCAATGGTTTGGTGTAGAGATATGTCCCGCGCTCTCGATCTGAAGCCGTCTGTGAGGGCTGGAGCGACAGAGGCGACCCGTGGTTGACCAGCCGCGCAAAGGGCAGCTGGGCTGCTCCATCCATGTAGAGCAGGGGAGGCACGGGACGAGATGACGGGGGCGGTGGTGGTGCAGAGGAGCCCGTCGTCGTCGAAATTCCCGAGGGTGACATGGTGGTGTGGTGCGCGGTGGGGGGGGGTCGACCATGGGCGCGGCCTTGCGCGCCTCATCCACATCTGCCTGGGTGAGATCGATCTGCTTGGAGAGGTGCTTGAGCTCGATGAAGACTTGTTCGTTGTAGGAGAGCTGCGCCTGGGTTCGCTTGTTGGCCGTCTTCTGGCTTGCATCGAGGCGGTGGATGACCGACTCCAGCAAGTTCTGCAGCTTGTCGATGGTCTCCGACATCGCGTCGAGAACACGGCGGGTCTGCGCCAAGTGTTTGGACGGCGCCGTGGTCTCGCTCCAAATCGACCGAACCCTGAGCAGGATTTTGTGCAAACTCGCCGGAGCGGCTTGCACCTGACCCGGTGGATGTTACAGGCGACCGAGAGAATATGAGAACCGCGGCGGCGTGGGGTGGTGGGAAAAAATCTAGGCTCTGAGTACCAAATTGTCATGATCCAGAGGAAGGAGAGAGGAGGGGATCGGGATCGGATCGGAGTAGGTGAGGATAGCAGGTGAGAGGGGAGAGCTTGGAGAAGGGGAAAGGGTAATTTGATTCATCAATCACTCGCTGCCTCAATGGAGCAAACACCAAATTTATGTACTCCCTTTGTACTAAATTAACGACAATTAATATGGATCGGAGGGAGTAGTTTTTTTACTTTAATATGTAAAAAACATATATTTAATTTTACTGTTGGCAATCTTTTGGGTAGAAAACAGCTAACCGGGCCTAGCCCAGTTAATTTTTTCCCGCATGCTCCCCAGTATTGTTGGGCCAACTACCGTCCCGCAGACCCCACCATGGAGCAAACACCTGATGGAATGATCAAGGTTCGCTCGTTAGACGCAAAGGGAGCAACTAACTAAGGGATACCCCCTAGATGGGGATTCCAGCGGGTAGTCTACCACGCGAGGGAGCACTCCAGCGCCGCCATGTGCCGCCGGTGGGTGCTTCCTGCATCGGACGGTTGTTTTTGTTTTTTCTCTTGGGTTTCATGTTTTTTCCAGTTTATTAGTTTTTTCGTTTCTTCTTTTTTTTTGTCTATCATGAGCGTGAAGCACATGTAGCATTTCGTGTGAAAAGTACGGTAATGTTTCCGCATGAAGCACAATAGTTCTTTCACATGAATCTCATGTCTGCTTCTACGAGAAACAAAAGCACAATAGTGTTTTGTGTGAAAAGGGAAGCACAATTGTGCTTCTCGCGTGTTGTGCTTCTCGGGCGAAGGAACAATTGTAATTTTCGGAAAAGTGAAGCACAGGTGTGCTTCCATGTGAAGCACAATTATGCTTCTCGCTTGAAAAGTACAAACTATGCTTCCCAAAAGTGAAACGCGAGTTAGTATATTTAAATGACAGTTTAGTAAAATTTTGGAGCACAAATTTTTGCCCAAAAAGTTTCTCGGAACCCATCAATATAGAGATCTCGGTGCGAGGAATGAAATGGTGAAAACGGTTCATGCTTTGGACGCATGATTCAAGAGATAAATCATTTTGAATAATCAACTATATAAAATAGTACTAATAAACCCATCTTTATCGCGTGCGTGGGAGAAATCTCACCAAAACTCGCTAACTGTGACAAGATCACCAGAAAAGGTGATAGTGGCCAAGAGGTATCTCTTAACTAATGATTTCACTTTCCCTTGGAGCTACTCTAGTTGACATTTGCTTTATCAGCGGCCCTATAAAAGGTTAAGAGCTGTCTTAAATTTCTCGTGACACATATTCACACCCATAATCTTCGGTTGTCCTAGCTTGGACGCGAAGGGAAACACAATTGCACTGAGTACTGACGTCCAGGTATGGAACTGAGCTTCAGCTTCTACAAGCTGTGTGACTATCGAGCGCGCATATGAGTGGGGCGGTAGCGTGACCAATCTTGAGTAAATATCCTGCTGAGCTACAAAAGAACGTGGAGGAATCGGAGCATCGGAAGACATCGCAGCACGGAGGGAGGATCTCAACTCAATCCAGCACACACCATCCATGATGCAGGCATGCAGCCCAGCAGTGGATCAGTCCACCATTGCTCCTACTGTCCTACCCTACTGAATGAATGCTAGAGACGGAGCGCTGTGGCTACTTTCCACTTCTTACCGAAATAAGAAGTGTTACCGGCCGGAACATATTATATAGCATATACTGCTAATTTCTGATTACATAACCAACTCGATGCATACGCATGAAAGAACAGCAATGCATAAATAATCCATCCAGAAAGGAAATGGTGGTTATAATCGATCACATTCCATGCAGCAATTATAAGTTGGTAATGCAGAAGTGCAAACTAAATCCATCAAATGCAGAATGTTTTCATTTTTCTCTTTGCTCCGTTTACGAGCTGTACTGGATTACTGGATTTCAGACTTTGTTTTTTGCTGCCACTTTTAATAACATGGCCGCAGAGGCTGGGGTAATCCTCCTTTTCAAAATAAAAATCAAATGTAGTTTCAGAAAAATCCATCAAATGCACTTACACTGGTATCTTAATTTTTTGAACGAATGGAAACAATTGTAAATTCTTTATGATGAACTGGGTGCTGACTGTCACTGAAGCTATCTGTTTGGACTATCAGCCATGTTTGTCTTGACTATTTGCATAGAATGTATTACTAACTTATTACTGGAAGTCTTCAAATTTCCTCAAAACTTGCCACCGGTGAAGATGAACTCTGGTTTGTTGGTCAAGATGATGTTGCCTGATGAGTAAGAGAGAAAAACCACTGATAGTTAACACAAGAGCAGGAAGCATAAGAGAAGATAGCATGATGTTAATTATCAACGGCACCAATCTGCCATTACCCAACAACAAGTAGGTGGTACAGTTTAATCGGAGCAATCTTGACATGCAATCTACTCTGCAGCTTTTGCATCCATTTTCCTGCAGATAAGTACAAGGAAAATAAGATCACAATTTAACAACCATTAAATAAAGACGGTAGGGATAAGCATACTCTTTGTATGAAAGAATATCTATGCGTATGTCCTCTAGGCTCTTCAGTTCCTCCGGATCGAACAAGGCATCCTTAGAACAAAGTCATCAGTTAAACAAACAAATTAGTAAAGGACTTTGTGAGGCACAAATAGGAATGTTGTGTAAAGTTTGAAGCGGATGACATATACCAGATGGCTCAAATCTTCTCCCAGTTTTTTTATCGTGAGAAAACAGTACACGAAGTAAAGAACATACATACCACAATCTACTCCACTTTGTTGTGGCACCTACAAGTTTGTTTAAGTATATCATAACAGAAATCCAAATAATTAAGAAGCAACAATATAGAACATAATAATAGATATATTTTTTCCAAAAGATGAAAAATAGTTCGACTGTCAGAAGTTAAACATCATACCTTAGGAAACTCAAGTTCGACTTCATTTATGAACTGCTCTAACTCTTCCCGCTCTTCGAATTTTAAAATATCAACAATGAATCTGGTATACACCATCAATAAAGGGCTAATAAATATAGGGCATTCAGAATAAGGATGACAATTATGTGTTATAGACAATGCAAATGAGTAAATAAAACATTTATGTGAACGTAAACTAAGGCATATATCAGGGAGCTTTTGACGCCCACTCCATGCAACCTCCAACTAAAATTAATGCGCAATGTTTTTTGAAATAATAAACACCTTGTTGGGCTAATAATATATATAGATAAAAAACATATCTCATTGTAGTATCTTGAGTTGCCTACATGCAAAACCATGCTACAACAAAATATGTAAACATGCTAACATGAATTATTTTGATGGCTTAGTGAGAGAGAAAATAAAGTGAACAAACCTGTTGATGATTGGTTGTAACCTCTCCGCTTTCACCTTTTTAAGTGAATCCAGTAGCAGCATGCGTGGCCCCTTCTTAGTACCCAAGTACTTGGTCTTGCCAAAATTGCACAACACAAGAAGGCTCCAGTGTCCCCTATATATAGTCAACAAAGTGAATATTTGGTATCATGCGGATCAAATAAATGATTCTGCATGATCATAATGTGAGTAACATACCAAATAACAATAGGTACAAATACATATCGTCTTGTGAATATCTTCTTAGCTTTTATCCATTTAAGGATTCTTGATTTATCATCCCAGTCAGTGTACATGTTAAACCACAACGGATTAAGGTACGCATAATCGTTCTTCTTTTTAATATCCATGCATAGAGAGTTGTAATAGTACATTATAAGATTAACATTCCAATCAAAAGAAAATGAAAACTAACAACCTAAGACAAAGACAGAACATACTCCATGCACAACTCAAAAATATGAGTGTCAGGCATCTCTTTATTTGTTTTGTCCCTCCTGCTAATGCGGGACCTTTTTTTTAGAGCGGGTTGATCTTGAAAGGAGGGTAGTTCATTTTTGAAGCTCCGTCGCATCTTAACTTCTCTGCCTTTGCTTGTCTGGGAGCACTTATTTTGGCATTCTACACAAGGAAAAATAGAAATGACATGGAGATAACACTCATGCATGTGCACGCACATGCACACTTACACGCTCACGCCATGTTAGAGCGCGTGAATTAAAAAAACACTCTTGTGTAACTATTTTGTACTATGTAGTAAAATCATCTTGAAAAGCCACATATAGGGGTGAACGTAAGACTAAAGTAAGATACAACACATAACAGTTGCACAATTAACAACAAGTCATCATGTTTACAATATGAATATGGGAAAGTATATAAAAAATTGTAAATCAAGCACTTACAAGATTGATATTTTTCTGTTAAAAGAAAATGGTACAACCCTGGTTCATGACCAGTGAACTAGCTAAGTTACTACTGTTTACAATGATATAATAAAGTCCTCCCTCCGTAAAGAAATATAAGAGCGTTTAGATCACTAAAATAGTGATATAATGAATCAAGAGGAAGTGATTTGCTTCCTAGATGAAAAAATGATTTCCCTTGTGGAAGAAATGCCTACGTATGATTGTTAAACAGCCTAGAATGTGATCCTCCTGTGCACTAGGAAACGTATCCAGCGAAACGATACAAAAGCTAAAAAATATCATATCCTATAATTAATTAATAATCGGGTAAACTCCTAGATTGTGCTAAAAACATATGCAGCCATATTAAACAAATGGTGTATTGTAATTGACATGAAGAGTTAGGCCATTGAAATTAGATAAGAGCTAAGAATTTCCAATGATTAGTAAACCTCCAACTTTAAGTTGAACTACATCAAAAATAGTTTAGCTTGAAATTACGAAAACAACCACTAAACACAAGTGACGAGTGAGTTGGTAGTCATACTACGTCACATACATATTGCACCTATCCTACCAACCATCGAACAAAAATACACCACTCTGTGCAACACCGTCAGAGTCTCAGAGACCAACAGAGAAGATCACGGGGGACGCCCAAGGCCCAACACCACCGTGATGAGCAGATCAAGCGGATGGAAAGGGAAAAGGACCAGGTTGGTCGTCGATCGCACGCTCACCTTGGTCGCTGCTGTCGTCGCCGTCAAGGTCGATGACGATGTTCTCCTGGTTGCAGGCCTTTTGGCTCTGGCGAGGCATGGCGGCTCCCAGGGGTCTGGGATGGAGAATTCGATTTCTAGGGTTTGAATGATTTGGTTCCTCGCGGTACAAATAGGCGATGGCGAGTTCAGATCGGGAAAGTGGTAGTGGGATGACGCGTCTTGTATCTGAGCTTTGCTTCACTGGCCGGTTTGCCTTCTTGTTCCTTTCCTTTTCTGGAGCGAAGATGAAAACGGACCTTGGGAAAGCCCGCCTGTTCTTTCTTTCAAACACAATCAGATAGATCATAGATGGCCGACTAGAGCTGGTAAGTGTGGCAAAGGTCTCATTTTTATTATTAAAAAATGACTCATTTCTCTCAGGGTCTTTTTGTGAGGATTTATCTCATTATATTTACTCCTAATAGAGCAGTTGGTAGCCTCCGTAACAAGATGAAACGGAGTCTAGAGACATGCTCGCTATGCCCTATTTGTGGTGCTAATGAAGAAGACACGTTCCATACATTATGTTCATGCACGAACGCAAGAGCTCTATGGAGGGCCATGGCTGCTGAATGGTTCTTGCCGGATGTATCTTCGATCAAGTCGACTGGGCCTGATTGGTTTATTCAGTATATCTGCGAGGTTGATGAGTCTACACGAGTTCGACTAGTGATGCTCTTCTGGCGAATTTGGTATGTTAGAAACGAGCTCGTGCATTTTAAACCCGCCCCTCCTTTGGATGTCTCTGTCAGATTTTTATCAAGCTACCTATCATCGCTACAATCCATTGCAACACGTTCTGGTGATGTTCATGTGAAAGGGAAAGCCCCACTTCAATACTGTTTCCCTCTTACAGCTCATGCATGCAATAATGCTTCCACTAATCTTGTTTCTTGGATACCGCGGCCACTGGGCATGTAAAGCTAAATACAGATGGATCTATTTTGAATGGAGTTGGAGGAACTGCTATGCTGCTCCGTGACCACACCGGCGCCATCATCTTCAGCTCTTGTAGACACCTTTTAAGAAAACAAATAATTGATTTTAACATTATCTAAATTAATTAACATTATCTTAAATCGCTCAATCACATTAATTAGAAAACAAATAATTGATTTTAAGAAAAATCGCTCATCTCTATTCCTAATAGATCAGTTGGCAGTCTCCGTTTCGGGGGTTTTTTCGTCCCATCTCCCACTTTCGCTGGGCTTCACCGGATTATTTCCGCGTCACCCTCTCACACAATGAAAGAAAACTGAACATATCAGAATTTTCCATGCTGGCGCAAATTATTTAGTAATGTAGAATCAATCACGATCAATCTCTAAATATCAAATCTAAATTAATTAACATTGCCTTAAATCGCTCAATCACATTAATTAGAAAAAAAATAATTGATTTCAAGAAAAATCGCTCAATCACATTAATTAGGAAACAAATAACCGATTTTAAGAAAATCAATGTGTAAATCATAACAAAGAAATCTCATTAGGTGAACGAGACCCCCTCGAACGCCCGTGCACAGCCGCCATGTTCCCTCTCCCCCACCCAAAGCCGCCCTCTTCCCCACCAGCGCCACCCTCCACTCACCTTCTTTTCTTAAAGCGAGGAGGCCCCAGATCAAGTCAAGGAAGTCAGCGGGGCGGCGGCCAGATCCATCACGGCCACATCTCGTCGAGATGGGCCACGCCGGGAGAGATAGACCGAGGGGGCGAACACCGTGTGCATATTTTCTCTCGGGACGCCGCTCCGACCCGGTCCGGTGAGAAGGCAGGCCTCCGTATGTGGCAACAAGGGCGGTTGGCGACGGGCGACGGCCGGCCCTCTCCCTCCCCTCCGGCCCTCCACTCTATGTTTCCTCCAAATGATTCTCCTCTAGATGGTGATTTGGGGTCTCTGTAACAGGTTTGTTATTCATTTGAACGGCGGTCGCCTTTGTGCATTCGTCGACCACTATCGCCATGTTCATTGCTCCCATGTATTGGTACTTCATCTTGAAGGCGTTACCTATGGCAGCACATATTAGGTATAATATACTCCACTCTTCATGGCTGTTGTACTCTCTTCCCATAAAGTCGGATTTGTTCATCCTTTTAGTGCAATTTATTTCCTGTCAGCAATCTTCTACGCATGCAATCTTATGAGCAAAATTTTATTTAGGCCATCCTTTTCGTAGTATTATTCAGGCACCACTTTTTGGTCTCTGGGTATCATAATTATTGTATCCTACACAAGCTAGATTTGTAGGTGAGACTGACAATTAATCATACTCTGCTGTTATGCAACACCAAGACTCTTGACCTTTTCAGTCCAACAGTATGCCATAGCTACATAGATAGAATAGAACCATCATAATCTGTAAAGCCGCAAAAGAACTAACCATATTCAAACTGCAAACAAAAAGTATAAAGTTATTTTTACAGCAAAGACTAGCTTTGAGAAAAGAAATGCATATATTTGATTGGGAAAAGAAGACATGCTAGCTCAAGTATTGTGTGTTGCAATTATGCTCCATTTGATAGCAGAGTGGTATTATGTCCCTCGATTATTCTAAATTTCTATTATCTAACAAAATTTGTTTGCCGGTCTTTGTCACGCTACTTTTAATGCCAGGGTCTCAGTAGAATTGTTGTTCCACTAAAATTCATATGTGAAGAGGAGTTCCTGATAATAGATGAACATACCGGCCTACTTGCCTACAACTAAGGTAGAATTATCAGCGGGTACGCCAGTCGGAGCTGTTGATTGAAGAAAACCTGCAGATAGCTACCATCAATGTCACTTAAGTAAATAGCCGAGATCTTACACGTGACCGTTGTTTTTGAAGCCTTATCTGCAGTTGAGACTATATGGCGAGAAGACACAAGTGCGTAATACATTGGATACTACAAAGTAGACATGTTTTTATAAATGACATAGCAGAATATCACCACAGTGGAAGCAAAGCACCCTATATCCATGAAAATAAATAGTATAAGACGTCAAGGAAGAAAATGAGACATTAACATTTGATGAAGATTCAACTTCATAGGAAGTAGGAGTGCTTATGAGGGGTGCTGCTATTAGGGGATGGAGGTAATCAGAAGAAATTTGCATGTGGTGAAATAACTACCTCATAGAAGAGTTAATTGGTTTTAATGTAGGGAAATCTACAGGCTGGTTAAGCTTTGATGTATTTGATGTATAAATATTAGCACTTCGCTCTATGTAAAAAATTTCTTGCTAAGGTTATTCAATGGGCTAAGAGAATACTTGATGGACCAAGGCAAGTAGTGTTTGTAATGACTTAGTTTATGATAGTGCAAAATAAATTATAAAGAGAGTACATGGATTATTGCCATGAAATAGTTTAGACTTGCTGATATCATGATATCCACACAAACCTACCTATCATGCTTACAATGTTTCACACAAATAGATAAAAAATATGTTTCTTATCAGAAAATGAAAAATTACGCCATCATATGTGTGGAGTGTGTTGCAGTGCTCCACAAAATATTTCTCATGACCCCTGAAAACTTTTAAGGATAGAGCGAATCACCCAAAACAATTTCCATGAAATTCATTTTGTTGTGGTGGAAAATATAATGCTTAGAGCATCTCCAATAGATGATGTATATTTTGGTGATCCAAACCGGTGTTGTAAAAATTTACATCACCAAAAAGTGTTTTTTACATCTCCAAAAAAGGCTTAACTCCAACAGATGGTCCAAAACGGAGATGCACAAGAGCAACTCCAACAGATGGTCCAAAACAAAGATGTAAAATTCTGAAAACGACCAACTACTACTTCATATCAACGTAGTTCAAACATCAAATTCAAACATAGATGACATAAATTTAAACTAGCAGAACTACTCGCGAGGGCATCCCGTATGACTCATTAGAGTCATCCAAGAGCCCCCAGAACTCCTCGTCCGCCTCCGACGATGATGGAGGATGGGGATTACCGTCGAGGGGCCGGCCTCGTCCTCCTTCTTCACCTCCTCCTCCTCCTCCTCCTCCTTCTTCTTCTCGGTATCACGCTTCCAGTAGAACTCCTGCTCGGTCTGGGCATACTCGGGATGTGAAGGAAATATACCCTAGAGGCAATAATAAAGTTGTTATTTATATTTCCTTGTATCATGATAAATGTTTATTATTCATGATAGAATTGTATTAACCGGAAACTTAGTACATGTGTGAATACATAGACAAACACAGTGTCACTAGTATGCCTCTACTTGACTAGCTCGTTGAATCAAAGATGGTTAAGTTTCCTAGCCATAAACATGAGTTGTCATTTGATTAACGGGATCACATCATTAGAGAATGATGTGATTGACTTGACCCATCTATTAGCTTAGCACGATGATCGTTTAGTTTGTTGCTATTGCTTTCTCCATAACTAGACATGTTCCTATGACTATGAGATCATGCAAATCCCGAATACCGGAGGAACACTTTGTGTGCTACCAAACGTCACAACGTAACTGGGTGATTATAAAGGTGCTCTACAGGTGTCTCCGATGGTGTTTGTTGAGCTGGCATGGATCAAGATTAGGATTTGTCACTTTGATTGTCGGAGAGGTATCTCTGGGCCCTCTCGGTAATGTACATCAAAATAAGCCTTGCAAGCAATGTAGCTAATGAGTTAGTTACGTGATGTATCATTACGGAACGAGTAAAAATACTTGCCGGTAACGAGATTGAACTAGTTATTGAGATAGCGACGATCGAATCTCGGGCAAGTAACATACCGATGACAAAGGGAACAACGTATATCGTTATGCAGTTTGACCGATAAAGATCTTCGTAGAATATGTAGGAACCAATATGAGCATCCAGGTTCCGCTATTGGTTATTGACCGGAGACATGTCCCGGTCATGTCTACATAGTTCTCGAACCCATAGGGTCCGCACGCTTAATGTTTGGTGACGATCGGTATTACGAGTTTATGTGTTTTGATGTACCGAAGGTAGTTCGGAGTCCCGGATTTGATCACGGACATTACTAGGAGTCTCGAAATGGTCGAGACGTAAAGATCAATATATTGGAAGCCTATTTTGGACATCGGA